TGCTTCTGCTGCCACAGCTGCCAGCGCTCCTGCTGCCACACTGGTGTCAAATTAGGGTCCTGCACTGCCGCATTTTGAGTCACCACCCGTTGCGCTGGTACAGAGGGCAGTGGAGGTAACTTCGGGCCTACTCCCCATCTGTGAGAGCTGTTGCTGGAACGGGGAGAGAATGGACAGGGGGCGCAGAAGGCGCAGGCGGTACAGAAGGGGCTGAGGGGGCAGAGGATGAAGTGGAGGGACAGGAGAGAAGGGAAGGGGAGGAGGCAGCAGGGACGTTTCTTGTGGTGTTTGCATCAACAGAGATGGCAGGAGCTGCTGAGTGGCTTATCAGAGAAGCCAGGCGGGGTGACCCTTGAGTGGACTCAAACGTCATCAGAGAAGCCAGGCGGCAGGTGAGGAAGAGTGAGGACAGGAGAAGAGTGGGCGGAGGGGGTCGGAGGGTTGGCTGCGGAGGAAGAGGAGACGGTGGGAAGTGCATGTTTGGTAACATTCGCAGGCAGACAGGTGGGAAGGAAGCGATTGAACTGAGGGAATTTAGTGAGCAGAGTGAACAGAGAGAGAAAGTGAGTACTGGCAACAGAGACTAACCCGCCCTAACCGTTACTGGTAGCAGCTGCTCACAGAAAAGACTGGTTTCGAAGGCGATAACAGCAGGAGTAGGGGCTTTCCGGATAGTACAGATGAACGTGATGGATGTTTGGAGACAGAGCTGGGTGAGGCTGCGGGGGTGACTGTATGGTTGGCTGTGCAGATGGGCGTTTGAATAGAGAGTGGGATGAGAGTTTGGTGGGAGCTGTGGCACGCTGCCTGTCTTTGATCCGATTTGAAGACGCATCAACTGATGTGCTGTCGAGCTGCTATTGGTCGGTTCCGGAGAGGAGGAAGACCCGCGTGGATGGCACTGCTGCTGTCCGCCTTTGTCCATATCACTTGTGTGGTTTGAAGTGCAACCATATTATAGGCGTTTATCACATGGGCCAATTTGCACCACACCATTCTTCAATGTTGCTCCCCATGTGCATGATCCTTTTTTACCATGTATGTTGTCAGCTGAAGTGGGGTTGCATGCGAGTCAAGAACACGGTACTGCTAGAGCAACTAAAGAATGAGTGTCAGCTGCTGAAGGATCCCTTCTCAGCCATTACTCTGTCTCTGAAGCTGGAGATGCATACTTCAACTGCTTCTGTTTTTGTGGGAATGCTATGTTGGGGTACGAGAATGTAATACGGTACCAGAACCTGGTTTGTCCAAGGTATCCATCATAAAGGGTCATATACGGTACCATTACACAGATTTGACAAAGAGATTCATAATACAATTTACAATAGCATGCCAATCTGTGGCAGTCCAGTTACTCTGGTTCCAGCTACAGCTGCAAATACACTAGGATATCTAATCTACATTTGTCTCAGCACACTGCTCATCCTACGGAGAGCGACCCGGCTGCTCGACCCCGTTATTCTTCGCCGTCCACCAAATCTCCCGATGCCAACAGAATTCCCTGCTGCTGCTAGTGACCTACTCTCCTCCTCGTCCTCCTCATCCATGTACAGTTGATTCATGTAGCACACATTCCCTGCCCCGTACATCGTATAGCCGTATCTGCTGCTGTAATCCTCGTCCTCCTCATCATCCCCAAAGAGCTGGTTCGAGAAAGCAGTCATTCCCTCAGCCTTCCCAAGCCCCTTCGCCTCCACATTCCAGCCCTTCCCGGTGCTGCTGTTGCTCCGGCCAATCCCCCTCTTACTACTGGCTGCCTCTGTGAGCAAGTCCGTCTGTGTACTGCAAAGGCTATCAGAAGAGGAGGAGCAGGTATCCCAGGTGAGTTCGATGAGACACGCACTCTCATTCCGATTCAAGCTGCACCGCCTGCTGCTCGCCTCTCCACCCACCACCGCACCATTCTGTACCTTTGAGCTCATCGTCACATCCTTGTATGTCCTCGGAACCAGGAACGAAGAAGTTACATCCTCTGGTTCCAGAACAGCCAACCACCACGCCTTTTCAACTGAGTAGATCGAGCTCTCAGTCGAACTGAACACTGCTTCAGCCGAGGAGCGAGGAGTAGCAGCCGAGAAAGGAGAGACGACCTCAGTTGACAAGGCAGCGGTTCCAGCTGAGCACGCAGCAGCTTCGACCAGGTCCGCAGGAACCTCCACAGGGACAGCAGGAACCTCAGGGACAGCAGGGAACAACACAGCGACAGCAGGAACCTCCACAGGAGAAGAAGGGACCGCATCCTTGACAGCAGGAGCCTCAACCACGGCAAGATCAGCCTTCGTTGCAACTTGATAGCTTGAGCTGGTCCACTTGAAATCGACCTGCAGAAATTCAAGTGAGCAACGTTAGTTTCTGCTCAAGGTATGAAGATAATCTGTGACAAGAAGGAGGCGTCGGCGTGATAATACACACAGAAACTGAAAGGAGAAGGTGGAAATTTGCTCTTACCAGGCGTGGAAGGGAGACCAGGCTGCAGACGAAGCAGAGTCAGGGAGTCATTTTGCTCCCAGTGGCTCGAGAAGAGCGCGTCAACGTCCGCGCAGGCACTCGCAGCACCGACGCAGGCCATTTCGTTTACGAACGAAGTAGCGGAAACGGACTGGCTTTAGTGTAGAAATCGAAGGGCTTTCAGGGAGCACTAGAGCAGTGTCAGACGGTAAGTAACCACGGCGTTAAGAGCAGACGATGGCAGGAAGTCGAAGGCTGATTATAAGAACTCGCAGCAACTGGATCAGTGCAGACTGGTGAATGAGAATACGAACTCCTGCTTGCCATATAGTTGTTTTGCTGGTGCATCAGTGGCTGCTGTGATTCCAAGGGAGGGAGGAATGTGGAGTGTGCCTGAAACAGGGACGGGGATGCGACGTAAGTCACGGAGGGGGTGTTAGGCTCGAAATCGCCGAGGGTGTGAGGCTTGGAATCGCCAAGGGTGTGAGACAACAATGGCACTGCTGAGCGAATCCGCATCGCCTGTGGGATCCGCGGCAATCGCTGCTCGTGGCGACGTCGCCGGATGGCCTAAAGCGTCGCATGGCTGTCCAGACCATTCCCGACAACTAGATGCGGCCTCTCGACTGCATGAGCGAACGAGAGGGGTTCTGTACGGTGCGTGGTGATTCAAAGATCCGCCGCAATCGGGAGTACCGAGTGCGTCTCGAAATTCCGGAAGCGGGAGCGAGACTTGAGGCAAACAGTTCGATACACCGAACCTAAAACCGAGGCAACGCACTAACGCAGAGAACTTCGGGATGCTGGACACGTCGGGGAGCCAAGGCTGACTGAAAAGTCTGCCTGGAGAATCTATGGAACGAAAGTCGGAACGAGAAAATCGATGGTGCGCTTTAGGCTGAAACGTCTTTATGCATCATGTCAAAACTAATAATGCGGCGCAGGTAAGATATTTATAGCCCTTTAAAAACAAAGGTCGCAATTATGTGAACTCAAAAAATGAATTTATGTGTCAATTCATCTCCCATCTGTCAGCACAGCACACAGCAGAAACACAAAGCGGTGGCTACAGCACACTACAACGTTATCAGTGGCTAGTATGATAGCAACGGGAACCACTGACACATCAGCGCTGTAAATAGCGCCTTCATTAATTCGCATGCTCCTCCTGACGTGACATCAAATATCAAACAGCGCACCCGTGTTAGCCCCACCACCATTGCCAGTATCAGCCGATTGTGCCTTAATCTAGTTGCTGAATGCCGATCCACCGCGCCCAACAAACCATATGTGGTACAGTACATCATATGCATAAGTGTTGCCTCGGCCATGATAACGTCCCCTTGCATGTGATTGCTCCCCCCTGCCCAACTGCATCTGACACCCAACCTTCGAGCCCTGCACAACAGACCCCATTCCCTAGTACCCCCCTTGCATGTGCTCGCCTGCTCCCGACCCACCAACCCCCCCATCCCCAATTGCCTCTCCTGCCATGCCCCCTTGCCCCTGCCCCTGCCCATACTCCCTCCCCTGATTCTGTTGCATCTCCCCCAGTGCCCCGCCTTGCCCTGGCCCCTCCATCCCTCCAGGGTTTTGCACCATGGTATCAACACCCATACTACTGCCAGGGGCAGAAGGAGGAGGGGTGACACTAGAAGTGGGTGGTACTGGGGTAAACGCAGGGTTTCCCTGCATGGCGATCGGGTAATTCTGAGAGGAACCCCCTTGCTGTGGCTGCTGCTGCATTGCTGTTGCCGGTGCTCCTGTTGCTGCTGCCATTGGCAAAGCCTGTCCCTGCTGCTGCTGATACTGCTGCTGCTGCTGCTGCTGCTGGTATTGCTGGTGCTGGTACTGTTGCTGCTGGTAGGGCTGCTGCTGTTGCAGCTGTTGCTGTTGTGGCAGCTGCTGCTGGGGTTGCATCATAGGCTGCATGCCAGCATATGGTGCGCCCTGCTGTTGCTGATAGTGCTGCTGCTGCTGCTGCTGCTGATACTGCTGGTTGCTGCGGCTGATGCTGCTGGTACTGTTGCTGCTGCTGTTGATACTGTTGTGACTGCTGCTGCGGCGGCTGATAATACTGCGGCTGCACCTGCTGCTGCCCCATACCTGGCATTTGCCCCTGCATTGGCACCACCCCTGCACCTGCACCCCCTGCTTGGTAAGCATTACTAACCCCACCCATCAACCCCCCTCCTACCATTTGCATCGGAGGCGCACCCCCCACCATCCCCCCATTTCCCTGCTGCTGCAACTGCTGCACCTGCTGCTGCTGCTGCTGCTGCTGTGGTGGTTGCATGGCTGGGGGTGCCTGTGCCTGGAACTGAGGTGGCATTTGGCCTGGGCCAACCACAGCCCCGCCCATGCCTTGTGCTGCAACTGGCGTTGCCGATTGGTACTGCTGCTGCTGCTGCTGCTGCTGCTGCTGTTGCGGCTGCTGCTGCTGCTGGGGGGGAGGAGAGTAGATCACTCGCTCTGCTCTCCCAGGCTGACCCACCGGCCCTCCTGCTGCTGCTGCCACGCCACTCCCCACACCGATGGCACCAGCAGTGCCGCTAGTCGGTGGTGCCCCGTTCGTGGAAGCTGCTACCCCCGCCTCTGTGTGAGACAGTGCGCTTGCTGCTCCGCTCTTTGCCTGCCCACCCGCTGCCCCTTGCTGCCCCTGCTGCTGCCCCAGCTGTTGCTGCTGCCCCTGCTGCTGCTGCTGCTGCTGCTACAGCCTGTGAGCCTGTCTGTGTGGGTGTTAATGCACCCTGTCCCGTTGGTGCCTGCTGCTGCTGCTGCTGCTGCTGCTGCTGCTGCTCCTGCTGTTGCTGCTGCTGTGGCGGCTGTTGAGAATGCTGCAACTGTTGGGGTTGCTGCTGTTGCGAACCGGGCTGTGGCTGTGTGGGCGGTGGAGGGGTGGCTGTGGACGGAAGGGGAGGCGCAGCAGCAGCAGCAGCAGCAGCAGCAGCAGCACCAGGAGCAGGAGCCGGGGAGGGCGGGAAGACATCGGTGAGGGGAGGCGTGCAGAGGCCCATGGCTCGCAGCACGTAGCTGTCGTCGTGCAGCTCAAAGGGCGTTCTGAGAGAAGAAAGGACGGGGAAGGGGGGAGAGAAAATAAACTTAGGGTGTGAGGTGACAGAGACCAATGGCCTGTAGCACATAACTGTCGTCGCGAAGCTCAAAGGGGATGCGGGGCCAGGGAACAGAGAAGGAGCAGAAAAGATGGAGAGATTGGGCAAGTACGTAGTTTGACATGCACATGGGTGACATGCACATGGGTGACATGCACATGGGTGACATGCACATGGATGACATGCACATGGGTGACATGCACATGGGTGACATATACACAGTTGCGAGTTAACGAAAGAGAGGCTGTGAGAAGGCTTACGTGCTGAAGTCGAAGTGCACAAGCTGCATGTCCTCTGATATCTCCACCTCCACCGTTGCCTGTGGGCGGGTCTGTAGAGGGGGAAGCAGAGGGGGTGAGAAGGGAAGAGAGGAAGGGGAAGAGGACGTGCTGAAGTCGAAGTGCACGAGTTGCATGTCCTCTGATATCTCCACCTCCACTGTTGCCTGTGGGCGGGTCTGCAGAGGGGGAAACCACAGAAAGTGGGTTGGAGGGAACAGGGAGAGAGGAGAGGGTGGTCTCACATCCACTGGGAGGGTTGGACACGAGCTGCATGTCCTCTGATATCTCCACCTCCACTGTTGCCTGTGGACGGGTCTGTAGAGGGAGATACAGGCATCGAGCAGGAGAGACAAGGGAAGAGAAGGGGTGAGAAGGAGACATGCTGAAGTCAGAAGGACACGAGCTGCATGTCCTCTGATATCTCCACCTCCACCGTCGCCTGTGGGCGGGTCTGCACACCACAGGGGAGCACGGAGGGGGAGAGGAGGGAGGGAAGAGGAGGTGAGATAGGAGTTGCATGTCCTCTGATATCTCCACCTCCTCCGCTGGCTGTGGGCGGGTCTGCACAGGGAAGCAGAGGGGGTGAGAAGGGAAGAGAGGAAGGGGAAGGGGACGTGCTGAAGTCGAAGTGCACGAGTTGCATGACTTCTGATATCTCCACCTCCGCTGTTGCCTGTGGGAGGGTCTGCACAGGGGAGCGCGTGAAAAGCAGGAGGGAGGGGTGGGGGAGAGAGGAGAGGGACAATATATCCACCTCGCTGCCGCCTGCGGACACGTATGCTCCGATGGCACAGGCAGTCAAGATGGGTGGGGAGACAGAGGAAGGGAGAGGGGGAGAGATGAGGAGGGAAGGGAGGGGAGAGATGGCAAGAGAGGAGGAGAGAGCGGACGTGCTGAAGTCAAACTGAATAGCTTCGTGCCCTCTCATATCTCCACCTCCACTGTGGCCTGTGGGCGGGTCTGCACAGGGGAGCGCACATGGCATGGCGGAGCTGGAGAAAGAGAGATACAGTTGGACTGGATGGTGAGCAGCGGAACGCATTCGCACTTGACTCAGTGATGCAGGAAAGAAGGGTGGGGGGGTGGGGGGAGAGACAGGTGAAAGAATATTGATGTACGCGAGACAGCAAACATGCTCCTCCTCCACTTCTGCCTCTTTCGGTGCCATTGCCCATGGCAGCTTTAGAGACGTCCCAAAAGTTAATGGAAACCTCTGACACACTGCACTTTCCCCGTTGCTGCAGAAAGATGAAGAGACTTTTGAGTCGACTCAAAAGTCAAAAGTCCATGGAAACCTGTGACACACTGCACTTTGGAAGCCTGTGACACACATGACACGGTGAGTGGCTTGCCATTGCCCATGACACACCGCACTTTCCCCGTTGCTGCAGAAAGATGAAGACACAACGGCAGGCAACTCTGCCCGTGGCTTCCAAGCACACATGACACGTTGAGTGGACCAACGATATATACATACATATACATACATATATACATACATATATACATGGTTTAGGCTTTACTATAAAGTGAACAGTACCTGCACGAGGATAAAAGGCAGTGCCACTCCGCCGCCCGCAGGTGGCCCCCCTTGCTGGCTGCTGGCCTCGTTGCGGCGCATGAGACGCTCGATGCCGGCCATCTGAGAGGTGGGCGGCATACATGTGCGAGGAGGGTGACATACACATGAGGGGTGGGCGGCATACACATGTGAGGTGGGCGGCATACACATGTGAGGTGGGCGGCATACACATGTGAGGTGGGTGGCATACACATGAGGGGTGGGTGGCACACACATGTGAGGTGGGTGGCATACACATGTGAGGTGGGCGGCATACACATGTGAGGTGGGCGGCATACACATGTGAGGTGGGTGGCATACACATGAGGGGTGGGTGGCACACACATGTGAGGTGGGTGGCATACACATGAGGGGTGGGCGGCATACACATGTGAGGTGGGTGGCACACACATGAGGGGTGGGTGGCACACACATGTGAGGTGGGTGGCACACACATGAGGGGTGGGCGGCATACACATGTGAGGTGGGTGGCACACACATGAGGGGTGGGTGGCACACACATGTGAGGTGGGTGGCACACACATGAGGGGTGGGTGGCACACACATGTGAGGTGGGTGGCACACACATGTGAGGTGGGCGGCACACACATGACGGGTGGGCGGCATACACATGTGAGGTGGGTGGCACACACATGAGGGGTGGGCGGCACACACATGTGAGGTGGGTGGCACACACATGTGAGGTGGGTGGCACACACATGTGAGGTGGGCGGCACACACATGAGGGGTGGGCGGCATACACATGTGAGGTGGGTGGCACACACATGAGGGGTGGGTGGCACACACATGTGAGGTGGGTGGCACACACATGTGAGGTGGGTGACATACACATGAGGGGTACGTGTGTACATGCATGCGTGGGTACATGCATGCGTGGGTATATGCATGTGTGGGAGCAATCATGCGTAGGTGCATGCATGCACGGACAAATGGATGTTAACAGGCAAAAGAGCACACAGAGAGATGCAACAGCAATGAAACTGGAGCAGGAGCAAGCAAGCACGAGGGGGAGCAAGAAGGAGGCGTACCTCTTCCAACTCTTTCGAAAGAAAGCAAGAAAGGTACCTCTTCCTTGAAAGAAAGCGGAGAGGAAGAATGAGTGGCATACCTGCTCTTTCAACTCCTCCAGATGCGCTGCCTTCTTCTCCACGCGACTGCGCACCCGCGATGACTCCGCCTGGAAGCATGTGCACAGGGAAAGGTGGGCAGGCATGACACATGCTTACCCATGTTTGACGATGATCAACAAATGATTGGATGGTGCTTGACAACTGCTCGTCAGATCTTTGACCGATGCTTGACAGATGCTCGACAGCAGTAGAAGCAATAACAGGAGCTATAAGAGGAGAATCTTAAATAACAGGAGCTTGACAGATGCGAGCAATAAGAGGAAAATGACCAAAATTTGAAGTGGCGACACACACAACAGCACACGCACCAGGAAAGGAGGAGCTGGTGCGAGGCGGAAGAGGAGAGGAGGGGAGACCCTTCCATTTGATCTTTGAGTCGACTTAGCAACACAGACCACACCACACCGCACCACACGCACCACACCACACGCACCAGGAGCAGCTGGTGGGAAGCAGATGAAGGCGGCAGCCCCTTCCACTTGATGTCCTTCTTCTCCTTTGAGATGATGTCCATCGCCATCAGCACGTTCAGCGCATCATACACCCGCCGCCGTATGTTCTTCTCATCGTACTGCTGCCCAAGGGGGTGGGGGGGGAGGGGAATCACCGCATGTAGAGGGGGTTTGGGGCAGTGAGGGGAGATGGTGGGACACAAGGAGGAAAGCGTCGCACACCCGCTGCCGAATGTTCTTTGTCATCATACTGCGAAGGGGGAGGGAGAGAGAGATGGGAATGGGACAAGACATGGGAAACTGGGGGAAGGGAGAGGAGTTTTCGGGGGAGATGCCTTCATCTCAGGGATGGAAATGCCTCGTAATTCCCAGGGAAACGTTTTCGGTGCTGGAAATTAATCTCAGGGATGGAGAGAGGTGTCTTTTTAGTCGACTCAGGAACGAGGTGAACTTCGAGCCACCTTGTAAATGCGGTGCTGAATATTCTTCTCAGGAATGGAGAGCCCAAAGAAATCAAACCCTGAACAAGGGAGAAAATGGGTGGCCTTAGCAACACGAGAGCGGCATGAGAGGGTAAGGGTATGGCTTAAGAGGGTATGAGAGTAGGTTGAGAGGTTAAGAAAATAGCTTGAGAGGTTAAGAGGGTGACTAGAGAGGGTGAAAGAGTAGCCAGTGATGGTAAGAGAGAAGCTTGTTAGGAGGGTAGGTTGGGAGGGAGGGAGAGTACCTGGTCTTGTGGCATGCTGGCAGTGCCTTGCAGCCCTGTGAACTCAGCCACTAGCTCGTCTGCTACCTGCGAGAATGAAGGCAGGGGTTGAGGTAGAAAGTTGGAGCAGTGAGGTCTGTCTCGGGTTAGTGAGCAGGCAGGCTGGCAGTGCCTTGCAGCCCTGTGAACTCAGCCACTAGCTCGTCTGCTACCTGCGAGAATGAAGGCAGGGGTTGAGGTAGAAAGTTGGAGCAGTGAGGTCTGTCTCGGGTTAGTGAGCAGGCAGGCTGGCAGTGCCTTGCAGCCCTGTGAACTCAGCCACTAGCTCGTCTGCTACCTGCGAGAATGAAGGCAGGGGTTGAGGTAGAAAGTTGGAGCAGTGAGGTCTGTCTCGGGTTAGTGAGCAGGCATGCTGGCAGTGCCTTGCAGCCCTGTGAACTCAGCCACTAGCTCGTCTGCTACCTGCGAGAATGAAGGCAGGGGTTGAGGTAGAAAGTTGGAGCAGTGAGGTCTGTCTCGGGTTAGTGAGCAGGCAGGCTGGCAGTGCCTTGCAGCCCTGTGAACTCAGCCACTAGCTCGTCTGCTACCTGCGAGAATGAAGGCAGGGGTTGAGGTAGAAAGTTGGAGCAGTGAGGTCTGTCTCGGGTTAGTGAGCAGGCAGGCTGGCAGTGCCTTGCAGCCCTGTGAACTCAGCCACTAGCTCGTCTGCTACCTGCGAGAATGAAGGCAGGGGTTGAGGTAGAAAGTTGGAGCAGTGAGGTCTGTCTCGGGTTAGTGAGCAGGCAGGCTGGCAGTGCCTTGCAGCCCTGTGAACTCAGCCACTAGCTCGTCTGCTACCTGCGAGAATGAAGGCAGGGGTTGAGGTAGAAAGTTGGAGCAGTGAGGTCTGTCTCGGGTTAGTGAGCAGGCAGGCTGGCAGTGCCTTGCAGCCCTGTGAACTCAGCCACTAGCTCGTCTGCTACCTGCGAGAATGAAGGCAGGGGTTGAGGTAGAAAGTTGGAGCAGTGAGGTCTGTCTCGGGTTAGTGAGCAGGCAGGCTGGCAGTGCCTTGCAGCCCTGTGAACTCAGCCACTAGCTCGTCTGCTACCTGCGAGAATGAAGGCAGGGGTTGAGGTAGAAAGTTGGAGCAGTGAGGTCTGTCTCGGGTTAGTGAGCAGGCAGGCTGGCAGTGCCTTGCAGCCCTGTGAACTCAGCCACTAGCTCGTCTGCTACCTGCGAGAATGAAGGCAGGGGTTGAGGTAGAAAGTTGGAGCAGTGAGGTCTGTCTCGGGTTAGTGAGCAGGCAGGCTGGCAGTGCCTTGCAGCCCTGTGAACTCAGCCACTAGCTCGTCTGCTACCTGCGAGAATGAAGGCAGGGGTTGAGGTAGAAAGTTGGAGCAGTGAGGTCTGTCTCGGGTTAGTGAGCAGGCAGGCTGGCAGTGCCTTGCAGCCCTGTGAACTCAGCCACTAGCTCGTCTGCTACCTGCGAGAATGAAGGCAGGGGTTGAGGTAGAAAGTTGGAGCAGTGAGGTCTGTCTCGGGTTAGTGAGCAGGCAGGCTGGCAGTGCCTTGCAGCCCTGTGAACTCAGCCACTAGCTCGTCTGCTACCTGCGAGAATGAAGGCAGGGGTTGAGGTAGAAAGTTGGAGCAGTGAGGTCTGTCTCGGGTTAGTGAGCAGGCAGGCTGGCAGTGCCTTGCAGCCCTGTGAACTCAGCCACTAGCTCGTCTGCTACCTGCGAGAATGAAGGCAGGGGTTGAGGTAGAAAGTTGGAGCAGTGAGGTCTGTCTCGGGTTAGTGAGCAGGCAGGCTGGCAGTGCCTTGCAGCCCTGTGAACTCAGCCACTAGCTCGTCTGCTACCTGCGAGAATGAAGGCAGGGGTTGAGGTAGAAAGTTGGAGCAGTGAGGTCTGTCTCGGGTTAGTGAGCAGGCAGGCTGGCAGTGCCTTGCAGCCCTGTGAACTCAGCCACTAGCTCGTCTGCTACCTGCGAGAATGAAGGCAGGGGTTGAGGTAGAAAGTTGGAGCAGTGAGGTCTGTCTCGGGTTAGTGAGCAGGCATGCTGGCAGTGCCTTGCAGCCCTGTGAACTCAGCCACTAGCTCGTCTGCTACCTGCGAGAATGAAGGCAGGGGTTGAGGT